GCGCGCGACCTCCGGCGTCCCATTGCCCTTCACAGCCCCCAGCAAACCCAGGTGCAGGGCAGGGAGCTCTGCCCCCTTCACGGCCTCCGCCGGAGCTGCTGGGCCTGGCCGGGAGCCCTGGGTGGGATGTGGCAGCGACCAAGCCCTTGCTTGCTTATGTGCTGCAGAGCCTCCACCCTTCCCGAGCCCCAGCAGGGTACGGGGAGCTCCGCACCAGCCTGCGCCCCCCTGCACCCACTCCCCCCAAGGTTCCCTACCCCTCTGACCCCACAGGACCCCAGCCAGCCTGCACCAAGGGAACCAGGGCCACAACACTGCCATGTTAGGAGGCAGCTGTGCTCCCCGGTACAGGCTGCACAGTTGAGCCCCGGCCAGGGGAGCAGATGTGGGAACTGGCTGTGCCCGGTTCTCAGGATGGAAATGGATTTTTCCTTCTCCGCCCCCCAGCATCAATCACTTTTTCTGTTTGGTTTTAGCCAAACCAAAGAAAAAAAAAAATGCTTCATGATGCAAGTAACATGAGCCATGAGCCCCGGTCCCAAACTCGTGGCCAGCTCTGGCCAGGCTCTGCATGCTGCAGCGCTGCCCTGCCCACAGCCCCGTGCCCTCCATGGGTTTTGGGGCCCCAGTGAGCCCCAGAACTGCCCATCCCCAGGTTTGGGTGGGCTTCATCTGGGCCAAGATAAAGCCTGGCAAACCACACCTTGCTGCACTCGCCCCAGGATGAGCAACACGGGGTGTCACCTGCAGCTTTGGGACATGTCCGCAGAGCTGACCGTCTCTGGGTCTTGGCCACCCACTGCAGACAAGTTACAGGGATTATTGCACCTTGTTTTGCAGGGGCTACTGCTGGGCTGGTGGGAAGGGATGCAGCACTCAGTTTTCCCGCTAAGGGGGACACTGCACAGCTCCTAATTGATTCCCCATCCTGCGCCGAGGCCAGCTGCTCCCCGTGGAGAGCTCGTCCAACCAGCTGCACACTGGCTGCAGCAGCCAAGAGCCACATCTTGCCAGAGGACATGTGCTCCCTGCAGAGCTGACCCGCCTGAGTGGCCTCGTGCCGTGCAGTCCCTGCTGGCACCGTGGCCAGCGGCCCTGGGGTGCCAGGGGCTGCTCTGTGGGGCAGAATGGCTCCAGGATCCCTCCAACATCCTCCAGGTCCCACAGAGGGGAGCGTTTGGAAGCTAACCCCAACACCAGCCAAAGGGACCCACAGCGTGCTGGGTCCCAGCCCGAACAGGCTACAGCGAACACGCCGGAGCCAGAGGAGATGGGGCAGGTGGGACACAGCTGGGGCTGCACCCTCTCGGAGGGGCTGGAAGAGGAAAGGGGCACTCTGCCGCCTGCCCACCCCGGTGCCGCCATTGCTGGCCCCGGCTGCCGCCCGCAGCCTCGGTCTGCACCAGCATGGCACCATTTGCCTCCAGTTCAGGATCAGCCCGTGGCCGCGCAGGCACCACGGGAAGCATACAGCAGCTCTAACTCTGCTCACGTCCCATCCCCACGCAAAGCGACAACACAGACCCATCCTGCACCTCCCGCCTGTGCCAGGCAGCCCTCCAGGAGCTGCTGCTTGCCCTGCTCAGTGGGCCAAGCTGAGCCGTTACCTTTTCAAGTGCTCTAGCAGGAAGAGGAAGGTGATGAGGTTGGGGTCAGGCAGCGAGCGGAGAAGGTGCATCATGCAGTTCTCCTTGGCAGCAGGATCCGAGAGGGCTGGAGACAAGGAGGGAGAGGGCTCAGGACAGGGGCTGGTGACATCTTGTGCAGGAGCGGGACCCACTGTGGCCGGACACCTCCCTGCAGCTGGTGCACGAGTGGCCAGCCCTGCCCCGCAGGGCTCTGCCTGCACCCCGGGAAGCAGCACCACGAGCCCCAGGCTGACCTGGAGCCTGCAAGGACAACCAGGACCGAGTGGGCTGAGCTGGGAAGGACCCTTGGGATTCTCCCATCCTGGAGCAGGCAATGCCAAACAGCCATGCTTGGACACCGACCCCTTCCCCATCCCCGAGCCCTTACCGATCCCCTCCATGAAGGCGGGGTAGAGTCTGTCAGTGAGGAGGGGCTCGGGCAGCTCGCGGAAGTACAGCTTCAGCGTGCCGGCGATGGCGTTGATGTCCATGTCACTCAGCATGACCAAGATGTCCTTGTTATCTGTCCAGAGAGCACCCACATGTGACACCTCCTGCACCTCCTTCCCCTCTGGATCTCAACCCCCCGTGTCACCCCAGCTATCCAGGCAGGCTGCCAGCCAGAGGGCAGGGACAGCATCACTGGATCCACGGCCCCATTTAGCTAGGCTGGGCCTGGGAAGAGCTGAGCAGTTCCCGCCTGGCTGGGCAACGGGACGCGGAACAATTTACAAATCCATTTGCAACGTCACCCTGAGTCAGTGTCTCCCAGAAGCTGGCCAGGCGCGGCAGCAGCTCAGAGGCACGAAGGCACAAACAAGACTGGGATCGCTGGGTGTTTGCTTTCCCAGCTACACCCTCCTCCTCACCCCCAGACCCTTCCTGGGCACACCGGCACATTTTGCACATGTGCAGTGCAATAACCAGACCCTGGGCTTGCAGGGTAGGGGGACCGGGGGTTCCTGTGAACCCTCCCAAGGGAACATGACATGAAGGGCGGCCATCCCCCACGACACTCACTTGCATCGAAGACAGCCTTCAACGCCTGGATGTCAGTGGCGACGCCAGAGATCCTGTAGATGCCGACCTCTTCGATGCCCCTTTTCTCCACCTCCTCGATGCACTGGCGCACGATGTAAGGCACCTTGGAGCGCTCGCGCCTGGCTCGGAAAGCAGAGGCGTGAGCAGAGATTCCTGAGGGACCCCGCCGTGGCCAGCCCAGCCCTGCAAACCCTGGGCCAGGGGCAGGATGGGCATGCTGGGTGGGAGGGATGGGGCTGGCGAAGGAACAGGCAAGTCCCCAGCAAAGACCAAAAGCTGAGCTCTCCCGGTGTTGGTGGGAGCAAGGGGACATGCTGCAAGGACGGAGCAGGTCCCCCGAGTCCCCCAACCCCAAGCCCACAGGGACCGGAGCAGATCAGCCCCCCCAGCCCTGCACATACTTTGTCACGACACTGATTTTGACCCCGAAAACACCAGTCTGCTTTTTGGACGGGGTCCTCTTCAGGCTCATGTCTCTGCTCGTGAACTTCATGGAGAACTCCACCTTGATCTGTGGGAGACGGGGTGAGTCCCAGCAGCCCAGCCCTGGCCCGTCACCTCCGTGTCACACGAGGGCACGGCACAGCCCCGGGGAAGGGACTGCCATCAAAGTGAGGAGCTGTGTGTCCCCACGGCCCCGCTTACCCCATTCATCTCAATCACGTCCATGTGCCAGTTCTTCGTCTGCACAGCCTGCGGGTCCAGCTGCAGGGAGAGATGGTGTGTGAGCTCCGCGGGGACACAGCCCCTTGCCAGCCCCACTGCCACCGCAGCCTGGTGGCCCCTGAAACCCCCAAACCACAGATGGTGTCAGGCACGGGACATGCTCTTCCCTGGCAGCATGCCGCCCACGGCAGGAGGATGGAAAGGAGAAGGTCTGGGGTCCCTCTGGCCATGCCCTGAAGCCGGGTGGGCTCAGCCTCCCTACCTGGTCCCCTCCAAGCCCCCGCGAGGCAGCGCTTTAACCCACACCCAAGCAGCAAGAAATTTCCAAGAAATCGGGACTATTTCTGGCGGCAGATTGATGAAACAGAACTAGGGCAGCATTTTCTGTGCAGAAAAACAACGTCTCCCCATAGCCAAGGCTATTTATAACCCCTGGGAATGACGGGCTCCGCTATTTCTGGCTTTGGGGCTAGTGGGGGACTCAGTGACGCTGCCCCGGCGCCCAGCCGCTGTGGCGAGGTGCTGGTGTTCCCAAGGCCCCGGCACATGCCATGGCGGGAACTGGGCCCCAGGGCTGGGCACAGGCGGGCGCAGTTGCCTTTCGGGGCTTTTCAGTCCTCAGCTTGTGGTATCGATCCTGCCCCATCGATCCCTGTAATGCACGGGGCAGGCAGCAGGGCAGAGCCCAGCACTAATGTCCCCTTGGGGAAGAGGATAGGATGCGGGAGCTGGCAGGGGCTGGCGGGGGCTCCCAGGGCCGCGAGCGCAGCAGTTGCCAGGCGAGGCTCACGCCGAGCGTGCAGGGTCACTCCTCAAGGACACGGGGGTTTCCTACAGCTGCTGGCTCGGGAGATGCTCCGGGTGAGCGCAAAAATGTCCAGAGCTGCTGCTCTGGCCATGGAGCTGCTGTTCCCCTGCCCCAGCTTCTGGCTGCCCATGAAACCACCGCACATCATGATGGGGGGGACCCTGGGGGTCCCTCGCATCCCTGGGGGTCCCTCGATGGACCCTGGGGGTCCATCGCACCCTCTTGCACACCAAGACCTCATGCTCCCGAGGACAGGCTCAAGCTGCCCTGGCTCTCGGCACAGACCCAGCACCACGGCATCACCCCAGGCCCAACCCCATGCCACGGTGAGCCTGAGCAGCTCCTCAGCGGCCACGGTGCCACAGGAAACGCTGCGGTCTCCAGCACAGCCCAGGAAGGGCTCCTGACATGGAGCCCTCCCCAGTGCCCCTGCCCCAGCCCTGCCAGGCCTGTGGCTGCTGGGAACAGCGGTGGGGGGAGCGGGAAGAGGAGGAGGAGGAGGAGGAAGGCTGCGGCAACCCTGGGCTCCCGTGGGGGCCT